GCGACGAACAGCACCGTCTTCAGGAAAAAGGGGGGAAGCCTCGATCGGGAACGTTGTCTTTGCTGCGAGCGGCGCCAACTTAAACGCGAGTTGGGCGACAGTCCAACGTAAAACGGAAGGATGTCTCGGGCGGGAGCGCTGGTTTTGTCGGGGCGGCGGTTTTCGACGGCGAAGAGGAGCAACGCCTTGAATACAACAAGAAGGAGGGGGCCTCGAGCGGGAACGTTGCTTTTGATGAGGGCGGCGCAGATGAGAGAAAGACTAGCGCGCCAGTCCAGCGTAAAACGGGAGGCAGTCTCGAGCGGGTACGCTGGTTTTGTTAAGGGGGCGGCGAGCAAGAATACCAGCCATGAGTAAACAACGAGGCAGTTTCGAGCGGGAGCGTTGTTGTTGTTTGGGGGCCGGTGTTGGCGGCCCCCCAAACCGCTCGAGCGTGAGCCTCATTTTCAATGAAAATGTAGCCAGCGCCTCGGCGAGAGCGCCAGAGCGCTCTTAAAGGGCCCAACAATATTAATTGTTTAGTAATTCGCATTCACAACAGCAGCAGCAACAACAACAACGCAACAAACATATTCTCACCACGAATTCTTTCTTCAGCCACGCGCGCAGGGACAATGAATGACCGTTCGGCCCCCTCACTCTGATATGTATGTGTGTGTCTCCGCCACCGTGCCGCTGGGCACGGAGTGGGCGTGCCCTCATGTCCTCTGCCCAATCGTTGACGCACTCCTGAGGCGTCTTTAAAGGCCCAGAGCCCGCATTCTAAAATCTCTCCGGGCTTGGCGCGGTTCCCTGCGTCTTGTCATAACTTAAAAGGCCCCAATGGGGGCCAAGAGAGCTCCAAGATGCCCGCCAAAACGGGCAAGATGCCCCAAAGACGGCCTAAGACGACCCAGAGACGCTCCAAGCGGCCTCGAAGAGGCCTCCCGAGAAGGCCCCGAGAACCCAATTCACTGATGCTCCTGAGGTGTCTGGATTTTTCTGCAGTCTCGCCCTTTCGGCTTCCCGACGCTCCAAGATGGCCCACGAGGCCTCCAAGACCGCCCCAAAACGGCCCAACAGGTGTCAAAACGCCCCAAAAACAACCCAAAAGGGCCCCAAAACTGCCACATGAGGAGCCCGACGCAGGGAAGACGAACGGAAAATCCTGGCTTTCCGCTCCAAGAGGCTCCCAGAAGGCCCCCAGAAGCGCCCAGGAGGCCCCCAGAAGCCCAAGAGGCCCCCAGGAGGCCCCCAGGAGGCCCCCAGGAGGCACCCGAACGGCTCGTAATGGGCCGTCCCCCCCCCGCCCCCTGCACCCAGCGGATCCCACCACAAGGCACGACTGCCGCTCGCGCGGCCAGGAGCATGGCCACGCCTCGACCGTACTCTCCTGCCTTCCCGCTCTGCGCCTCCGAGCCCTTGGCCCAGGCCCGCCGAACAGGAACCTCTCTCCAGGGTCAAGCGGCAGCCCCCGCGGAGCCCACAGCGGACCCTGCCCCGCCGCCTTGAGATCGGGCCGCGCCCCCGCCTCCAGGCAGCAGGTCCCGATGGTCACCACGAGGCTCTCGAATCCCTTGGGCTCGAGCTCCGCCATCTTCACCGCCGGTCACCGCCGCGTTGCTCTCCACAGCCGTCTGCGCTGCTACCTGCTCCGCGGCCTTGCCCACGAACTCCGCTGGTGCCCCGACCAGCATGGTCGGCAACGCCTCGCCCGTCAGCACACAGCACACCTCCTCGTTGGACTGCGCCTCGACGATCTCCTCGACCTCCTCGATCTCCCGCGGCTCCACCTTGATGCCCTCGCCGAGGCGGGCGCCCCCCCGCTCGTCCAGCCGTTCGCCCTCTGGCGACCCCTGGCCCTCACGATCGGCGCCGGCCGCAGCCTCCACGGCAAAACTCGACAAGCCGACCTCGCCGTCGATGGTGGCTACGATGGCCCGACGCCTGCCTGCGAGCTGCTCCTCCAGCGCCTGGTTGCGCTCCTTGATGAGCGCCCAGGCGTCCTCCAGCCGCGCCACGCTCTCGAGCTGAGCGTCCCCCTCAGCCCGCTCGGTCTCCAGAGCCGCCAGCTCGGCCAATCGCCAACCAGCGGCGAAGCCTCCGCAAAGGCCTGGGCCTCCGCCTCGGGATTCCCCGCCTGCCAGACGCCTCCAGCACCTCCTCGTCCTCCTCCTTCAGTTCCTGCGCCGAGCCCCCGAGGAAGAGAAGGGGAGGGGACGCCTCCTGCTCCGTCTTGCCCCCAAGCTCCGCCGTCAAGCTCCGCTCGGGTGCGTACTTCTCGCACTCCTCCACCCTGGTCATCACGCCGAGGGCCTCGAGGAGCACGCCCTCCTGCTGCTGCACTTGCGCCTCCCAGTCCCCAGGGGGCCGCCTCGGCTGACAGGGGGCCAACCCCCCGCGTCCAGCCCGGCGCCGCCATCTGCCGCCATCTGCAGTTTCCGCTCGACATCTGCGACCGCAATGGCCTCCCGGGGCACAGGCCGCAGCTTCGCCGCCCCAGGCGGCGCGGCGCGTCGGGCCCAGCTGCCCCAGCCCAGGTCTTCGACCGCGTCCGCCAGGCTGTCGTCGCCGATGCCCCGGATCCGCCCCGCGGCCACCACCTCGCCGGAGGCGGGAGCGTGGCCGCCCAGGCGACCCGCCTCAGCCGCCAGTGCGCCGCAAGGGCGCGGCGGGTGGCCGCTGGCCGCGCCGCGGGCGCCGAGGCCCACGCCTCGCCCCCGGCCTGCCGCCGCATGCGCCGAAGGCGCCGCGCCAGCGAGCGCGCGCTGGCCGCAGCCCAGCGCCTGCCCCCAGCGCCGCACTCCGTGGCCGCTGGCACGCGCCCGAGCGCCCACGGGCGCGCGCCGCGCGGGGGCCTCCCGCACGCCGGGCTCGCTCGAGCCAACATGGCGACGGAAGCGGCTCCTCATAGGCCCCAAGACGGCCCCCGAGGGGCCTCCCAACGGACTCCAAGGGGCCTCTGGGAGGCCCCCCACGAGATCCCAACGAACATCTAGTAGGCTCCGTACCCCCATCCCAGGCACGGTGGCGGGATGGGCCGAAGGCCATTCGATATAAATGGGAGGGAAAGAGAGAGAGAGAGAGGGGGGGGGGGAAAACAACAACAAAAGAAAGAGAGAGAGAGAGAGAGCGAGAGAGAGAGAGAGAGAGTAAGAAAGAGAGAGAGAGAGAGAGAGAGTCAGGAAGGGAGAAAGAGAGAGGGAGAAAGAGAGAGAAAGAGAGAGAGAGAGAGAGAAAGGACAACACTAAGAAAAGGGAGAAAGCGAAAGAGAGAGAGAGAGAGAGTGGAAGGGAGAAAGACACAGAGAGAGGGAGAGAGAGGGGAGAGAGAGAGAGAGAGATAGAGAGAGAGAGAGAGAACAAAAAAAAAGAACAACATAACAAAGATAGAGAGACAGCCACAACAGCGGAGAGCGCGACAGGCGCCAGCACCGCTACAGCTGTGGGCTCGGCATACGCAGGGGGGGGGCAGGGCCTTGGTGAGGCAAGCAAACGACGCGCCCGGTGCAGCGGGGGGGCGCCAGAGGGAGTAAATTTGTCGGTCCGCCGTGGGGTCGGACTGTGTGCGCGCTGTGTGGTCGGACTGCGGAGTCTGCCGCCCGAGGCATCGCCCTGGTGTGGCCGCGACGGCTGGTCGTACGACTGAGGTCGGTACGCCAACGGCGTGACCACCGGCCGTTGCAGTGCCGCGGGGCTGTGCGCGGTCGTAGATCGTCGGGGCGGCGTCGAGCACGACCTGCTCGTGGCCAGCGTCGTCGCTAACATCCCCGTCGCCATCTTCCTCCTCGCCCTCCCGGCTCCGCGCGGGCCCAAGCGCGGGTGGGCATGAGGAAGATGAGAAAAGGAGGGGGTGTGGCCCGGCGCCTCTGGGACTCGCCATCGCTCGGACGTCCATTCCCTGTGTTTTCCTCGGTCTCGTGCGTGGTTGTTTCGCCAAATGATCAAGGATGCTCCTCGATGGTCCTCGCCGAGGGGAAAATGCACACGTCCGAGCGATGCCCAGGGGATGGCAGGGAGGGCGCCCGCGGCGGTCGGACGGGTGTCAGCGGGAACGTTGCTGAGGGCCGTACAGGCTGCTGAAGAGCTTACTGGCGCACCGCTGCCGTGATATTGTGCGGATTTTCGCCGCCACAGCCCACCGCCACCGCCGCCGCCGCCGCCGCCACCGTCGTCATCGTCGTCGTCGTCGTTGTAGTCGACGTCGTTGTCGGTCACGCCGTCGTCGTCGTCGTGGTCGTGGTTGTCGCCGTCGTCGTCGTCGTCGCCGCCGTCGCCGTGGTCGTCGTCGTCGTCGCCGTGGTCGTCGTCGTCGTCGTCCGCCTTCACGGTCGGCGGCACTGGCTGCAAGGCCTTCGCAATATCCGCCCCAAATTCCCAGACGGGCATCTCCGCCCGACTTCTTCGCACCGTGCTGGGCTTCAGAATCGGAGGAACAAGAGAAGGCGACACCAACACCACCAGGGCGAGGAGATGCGAGGAGGCAAAGGGGGTCTGGCGTGTCGCCCCCCCCCCCCCCCTCGCTCGAGAGACATCCCGGGCCTCCAGCTCGGGGAGGCATCCTGGACCTCCTCGCTGGAGCTGGGCCCCCTGTTTTGGTGCTGGTGTCACTTCTCCTACCTCCGATCCCGGGCCTCCAGCTCGGGGAGGCATCCTGGACCTCCTCGCTGGAGCTGGGCCCCCTGTTTTGGTGCTGGTGTCACTTCTCCTACCTCCGATCGAAATCGGAAAATCAAACCGAGCACGGCGGATCCGGGACAGTCAGGGGAAGGCCACCCTTGAAGGGGCCCTGGGACACACAAAGAAAGACACACGAATGACATGATCCCCCTATACTTTCCCACATGTTCTGGGTTTCTGTCTTCCCCCCCACTTCCCATATTTTCCCATATTTTCTGGGGAATCGACGATTCATTGTGTCTGTGTGTTTTTTCCCCTCACTGAACCCTGCCAGGCCCGCCCCGCCCCGGCGCCCGCGGCGGCCGGGCGGGTGCGCGCACAAGGGGGGGGGGGGCGGCAGCCCACACGTCGAGCGCGGGGCCGTACTTGGCGTCGCCGAGCAGGAGCTCGATGGCCCGGTACCTGGGTTGCTGGTCTTCTCCCCTCCCGCCTCCCATTGCCCTCCTCCTCCTCCTCCTCCTCCTCCTCCTCCACCTTCTGCTCCTCCTCCTCCTCCTCCTCCCCGTACTCCTCTTCCTCCTCGTCGTCCTCCTCCTCCTTCTCCTCCTCCTCCTTCTCCTCCTCCTTGTTCTCGATACATGCATGCATGCATGCATGCATGCATGCATGCATGCACGTATGTATGTATGTATGTATGTATGTATGTATGTATGTATGTATGTATGTATGTATGTATGTATGTATGTATGTATGTATGTATGTATGTATGTATGTATGCATGTATGCAAAAGTGCATGCATACACGCATGTATACATGTGTACATGCATGCATGCATGCATGCACACATGCACATGTACATACGTACGTGCATGCACAGATGCATACAAACATACATATGTGCATATTTACTTACAGGCATGCAAGCATGCTTGCGTTTGTGCATGTATGTATACATGCATGCACACCTACATAAATACACACATGCGTGCATGCGTGTATACATACATACGTCCATGCATGTCTACGTCACGCATGCACACATACACACATATATATATATACACATAATTACATACCTTCAGCCAGACAGACATGCATGCATACATCTACACAAATCCGCCGACCCTGTCGGCGTGTGCGAGGGGCTTGGCTGTTCGAGTCGTCGTCTCCGTCGGTCGTCGCCTCCGTCGTCCCCTTTCCCTGCAGCTTCCTTCTCAAGCTCGTGAGCGAGAGAAAAATCTAGCAGTGTCGTAATCGAGTCGAAGGGAAGCCCCTTCCCTTTGATCCCTTCCCCAGGGGGGGGGGTCCCGGGGGGGTCCCGGGGGGTGGGGGGGGGGGGTGGGGGGCAGATTCGTTTTTCCTCGGGCGGCCTAGAAACCTCGAAAACACTCCAAATGAGGTCCGAATGCCCAAGATGGCCCCCGAGACGGCCCAAGAGGGCCCCGAGTCGCCCAAAGATCGGCCGAAAACGCCCAAGATAGCCCCAAGACCGTCCAAGAAGCCTCCAAGACGTCCCAGGCCCCCTCCAAGAGACCCCCAGGAAGCCCCAAGAGGCCCCCACGAGGCTTCCAAGCGGCCCCGAAGAGCTTCCCAAGAGGCCCACAAACTACCCCCAAGAGGCCCCCAAGAGCGCTCGTCGTCGTCGTCGTCGTCGTCGCCATTCAGGGTCGGCGGCACCGGCCATAAGGCCTTCGCAATATACACGTATACATACGTACACACATGCATGCATGCATACGTACGTACACACATCCATACTTACACACATACCAACACACATACACACATACACACGCACACATACAGTTCTGCATACATACATGCACATGTGCATACATGCATATCCACGTACATACATACATACATACATACATACATACATACATACATACATACATACATACATACACACATACATACATACATACATACATACATACATACATACATACATACATACATACATACGTACATACGTACGTACGTACGTACGTACGTACGTACGTACGTACATACAGCCACACAGACAGACAGCCATACACGCATACATGCATGCATACATATATGCACACATGCATACATACATACATACACACATACATACATACATACATACATACATACATACATACATACATACATACACATACATCCATACATACATACATCCATACATCCATACATCCATACATCCATACATCCATACATCCATACATACATACATACATACATACATACATACATACACACATACTCGCACGTATACATATATATATAGCAGCACGCGTACACATATACATGCATGCATGCATACATGCATGATGCATACGTACATACATACGTGCATGGGCGCATGCATGTTTAAATGCATGTACGCATACATGCATCAATGCATGCAAGCATACATATATAAATATAGCTGTATGGCAAGACGGAAGGCGAGGTACAGTGCATCAGGGAAAGAAGAGGGTGCGCAGACAACATGCCTATACAACATATTCAACACGCACTCCGTCAGCCCCCAGGGGCCTCCAGACCTGCAGATCCGCAGAAGCACAAGACATACTACAACGACCGACTCCTCCTCCTCTTCCTCCTGCTCCTCCTCCTCTTCCTCCTCCTCCTCCTCTTTCTCCTCCTCCTCCATCTCCCCTCGGACGCACGCCAACATGGGCTCCAGATCCATGGATCTGGCGCGTGGACGCCAGATCACGGCTCGGGGGGGAGGCCTCAGAAAATGAAATCGAGTGCCGCTTGACTTGGCGACGGAGCGCGTCGATTTGGCATGGTAGCGGGACCCGTCGTGAACCCACGCGTCTTGATCCATAGTCCATCTTTGCGGTTCCTCGGTTCTGCTCCTCTTCTCCCCCTCCTCCCCCTACAGTTGGGCTGCTGAAAGAAGGAACGCTAAATAAGGAACGAAGCCCCTTGTTGGCCCTGTAAGCGCCTTCGTGCCCCAGGAGGGCAAGAGGAACAGCACTGGAGGAACCTAAGGAACATCGAGCCCCTTCCGAACCCTAATCGTTCCCAGCGTCTTGACTGTATGGCCGTGACACAAATTAAGACTGGCTTCACATGAAGTTTCACAGGCCGGACTGATCCATGAGGATCCCGGGCTCCCAAACGGGGCGAACAAAAAGGCCATCGCATTTGTCCCGCGACCCCAACCTCACGCTGCCTGGCGCATCCCCTCCCAAGCAAGGAGGCACCCCAGACCCCAGACGACGTAGCGTTTTCTCCTTGGACCAGGCGTTGCTTCATAGGGGGGCAATGAAGAGGGGGTGGGAAGGTGCACCTCAGTGCACGCTGGGGACCATGGCTGGACCCAAATGTTGTGTTCCGTTTTGTTGTCGTGCAGTTGCTCGTTGTACTCTGCCTGCTTTTGTTTCTGCACCTCCCTGCCACAACGAAGAACCAAACACAGCCGAAAGCCGGCAAGACAGCGTCTAGGTCCAGCCCTGCTGGGGACCGCGCCCATGTCTTCTCCACTCCCGCCCCCCCGCCATCGGCGGAGGGCCACTCGAAACACCAGCGGCGACCCTCCCGCCCGGCGCCAGTCCACCCCCGGGTCCCTCCGCGCCCGCTGCGCGGGGCGGATGCAGCAGGTGGCGACGGGAAGCCTCCGGGAAACCTCTCAAAAAGGGATCTGGCCATCGCTCGGACGTCCATTCCCTGTGCTTTTGTCGGTGTCGTGCGTGATTTTTTCGCAAAATGATCAAGGATGCTCCTCGATGGCCCTCGCCGAAAGAAAAATGCACACGTCCCCGAACGATGCCAAGGGAAAACAAACACTTTGGATCTGCGGGGCGGGAGCGCACCTCTTCCGCTAAGAGCTAGGCGGGCGACGCACAGCTTTGCTTACTTAGGAGACAGCAGGGCAAACAAGCACACGCAAACGCCAGGGCGTTGCCCTGGCGGGCCCTCCTCCCACCCAGCCCTCTCCACGCTCCTCCTCCGCTCCGTCCCCCTCCCCCATCTTTGGCGACGGCCCACGCCAGGAGGAGACAATAGGGGGCCACGTGCGAACCCTACCCCTACCCCCCACGATTTCTGAGGGGGAGGCTGGGGTTCACGACGTGCGGGAGCTCCCGAGCGAAGTGAACCCCACCCTCCCCCTCAGAAATCGTATAGGGTTCGCACGTGGCCCCCTAGACAAGCGGACCACCGCCACCGAGAACCCGTGGGGGCGGGACCGAACACTGGGCGGTGGCGCGCCCGAGCGTCGCCCTGGGCTGGGCGACGCTCGGGCGTGCCGCCGCCCAGGGGTCGGTCCCTTACCCGCGGGTGCTCGGGAACAGTTGGCTGGCGTGCCCACAAGGGCTTTCACATGCAACGCGGGCAGAACCACGCCTCTGGCAGGGGGCCATCTAGGACCAGGACGGGAGGGAGACGATCATGTTCGGGTTCTCCAGGTCCTCTCGGGGGGGGGATAGGGGCTGCTGCATCGGGAGATGGCGAGGCAGGGCTGTAGACGGCAACTGCACGGAGGTGTTCGTGGGCGCAGCGATGAGTTTTGTTTCCCAGGGAGATCCCCTCATCGAGTCGCCAACGAATCAGACACTACAATGCAACCAAGCATGACCAAAGACTTACATCATTGAGACCGCGTGCCACGAAACATGGCTATGTACCAAAACGCAAATGCATGCTTTATGCGCGGGGCGCATGCTCGCACAACTTGCATGGCACATTCGGCTGTGACAAGTTCCCGTTGAACGGCGTCATTGAGAAACAACACGGTAGCCAATCACAGCATGATCGAATGGCGGATCGGGTGCATTTGCCAATACGACGACGCCGCAGGACCCGAGACCCGCAGACAAAGCCGCCATCATAAAAGACTTGGAGGTGCATTTCCGCCTCCACTTTTTCAACAAGCCATAGGGATCTCGATTGTCGACCCCTTCCGTGATTAACCAACAAATTACCCCTAACCCTGTGGGAGGATTCTCTAAGTTAGGAGGGCCAAAAAATGTCGGATTTGGCTGTTCTGTCGAAGAACACCGCACCGAAGTATGATCCCTAATGCGAAGACGGGGGTCTCAGTGAGGACGCGTCTTCATTGTGTTATTAGGGTTAGGCGTTCTGTTATCCTTGATGACTCCTCGCGGCCCAGAGAGGTATGGCAAGCCATATCAGCTATTTGATTAAATTATCGTGGCCGCCAATCGCGTGAGAGTAAGAACCCTGCTTTGCGGCGAAATGTGTTCTACATATTATAACACAAATCCAGGGCGCGCGTGACGAGCGGCCTTTAAAAAACCCTTGCTCCAACGCCCTTCCGAATTAAACAATCTTGTAACAGTTTCGTTGCGAACTTCGGGAGCGGCCAAGAGGGGAGTGTCCAAAAGAGGGGGGTGCAAAGCATGACCGGCGGCACGTGCGCGGCCCAGCGGGGGGGGGCCGGGGACGTCATGAATCCACAAGAGGCGCCCCGAGATCTGGGGAGAGATCATGGCCCCCGCCATGATATCCACCCCCCTAGTCATCACCCCCCTCTTGTCCGCCCCCGACAACTACAGTGCGGGCGCGGCCGCAAGAAACCCCCGCACGAAACCCAACCCTGAGAACCCGTGCGCGAGGTGCACCTCAGGGGAAACCTGGAGCACCCTGAACGCAGCAGCTTCTTCAACGGCTGCGGGAAGTCACCGCGCAGCGCGAGGAGCGAAGAAACGCAGGATACCCTGACGAAAAGCATATGGTTTCTTGATGCGCGCCCGCACTGTACAACCTCCAGCTGACATGGCGCGTTCCCAAACCAGAGCCGATCCCTTTCCGCATGGCGTGGGATCCCGATGTCCTCGGACATGTCGGCGGCGGCCTCACAGCTGATCCCCGTTTGGAACAGCGGTCGGCTCGCCTCCAGGGTAAAGGCCCCCGAGGCCATGCCACCTGCAGACACATCGCGCACACATTGTCGACAGCCTCCTCCTCCTCCTCCTCCTCCTCGATCCCCGACCTCCAGGGGGAAGGCCCTCCTCCTCCTCCTCCTCCTCCTCCTCCTCCTTGGTGACCTCCACGCCGTCACATCAGAACAATCTTCCAATCGACGTCTCCATCCGAAACCGTGCACGCCAACGAGAAGTGCATCGGATGAGAGGTGTGCTCCAGGTCGCGCACGCACCCCGTAGCCTTCACGCGCGCGCTTCTGGCGACCGACCCCTCGCATGAACGCCCACATTTCGGCGCCCCCCGGTCAACGCGCGCCCGTTGCAGAGATACTGCTGGAGTTCGTTGGTGCCACAGCTATGAATAAACGCGATCAACAAGATGTGTAACGATCGGCTTGTACTTGAGATGCCCAATCCAATGTCGAAGTCGAACTACTACTCTGCGGTTGTATTGCATCCTCTTCTTGTCAAGCTTCGGCCGGAAACGAAAACACTTCGTAAATAGTCCGCGCTCCAACCGCGCCGCTACCATCAGGCTCGTTTAGTTCCGATGTGGAATTGACAAAGTAAAATCCCCAGCAGCCCAGGATGCCGCAGCGCAGGCCCGCAGCTTGAGTTTGACGGGCCGCGTGCTACGAACCTGACGCGCATACCGATAGAAACAGGCCTCCCCTTTGGATAGTCAGTGCTGGATGTGCGCGCCATTTGGGTCAGCACAGTTCAAGACGCCTCCAAATGCTTCCATCTGCTCGACGATGGAGCAGATGGGCTCGACACCCCAAGCCTGGACTTTGAATGTGTTGGTCGGCCAGGTGATAGTTTCGAGTAAGATGTCAAAGGGTTAGCTTTCCATTTCTATCCGCATCGCTCAGAATGGAGGACTGGCAAGCTGTTAACCATGAAGGCGAACTGTTTTAGATACGGCGCGAAAAATAGGACTAGTTGTCAACCCAGCACTGCCATTCTAAACCCAATGTTATTAAGCTCGAATCCTACGGCCATCTCCGCCCATCAACCCTCCAACTCCGAGATCATGTCCTGAAACATGCATATGAATATGTCCGTCTCCACTTCCCCACATGTTCTTGACGCTTTTGGCATGCATAAAGGATCCGTGGCCGCAACGTCTGGCTCAGAAACCTGCACCATATCAATTAAGATATTTCAGCAAGAACCTGGCGGTGGTCGCAAGTCGCTCCCCAACTCTGCAAACTTAGCCAACATGTCAACATGTCTGACACCATCAAAAACTGTCTCTATGCCCTGGGCGCTCAACACCAACAAGACGTCCTGCCAACGCTGAGCGAAGACACGGGTTTCAAACAGCACCGCAAATGCGTCATCTACTGAAGTCTGCAGCTCATACCCAAGCTGTTGATATTCCCAGGTATGCTCGTGCGTTTGGTAATGGTCGCGTAGGACGTTGCAGTCTAAAACTTGCACAAATGGTCTATCAAACCTGACCACGGGACATGCTTGAAGTCGTCAAGCGATTGTGCCTGCTTAATGCCACGGGGAATAACCTGCCCACGTGAATACGCTCGAAACCTCCCAATCGCAATCTCGCCACAGCCGCAGAAACTCGTCAAACATATAATGTGTCATCCAATGAGGCGCGAACATCCGCATTTTACATAGAGTTTCATCGGGTCCTTGCGAGGTCTCATGTGCTAGCTTGGTCAGCTGCTCCGCAACATCATCATAACTAGGTTACCCACTCGCCTGTCTGGTCAATGCTCGTGTTTGACCCCTTCGCGAGCATCTTGGACGAAGGGTCAAAACGCTGCGACAGACTTGGGCGAGTCCTTGGAAGTATCCTCCGCCACAGTGGGACGGCCTTCTGTCCACGTCGACCGATCTGCTGTTCCTGGCCGCTCAATCGGAGACTTAAAGGTGGAGGTGCATCCTGAAGCTTGCTACGCTTAGCCAGCGCGGAGAGGGACATTCTTAGTGATAGTCGATGTTGCCTGTCTTGTCATTCGCCAATGCGCCATCCTGCTGGTGGCTGTCGTTCTGCCTGTTCCTGGCCGTCCGCCTCTGCATCACCGTTTCCATCAGGACCTCATCAGACTCTGCCGCGTGTGTCACATGGTCCAAAAACTCGGCAACAGACAGGACGGCTGATATGCAGAGGCATCCAAGGAAACATAACGAGATCTCGACAATCAATGAATGTGCCAATCATGTTCTCAGATGGGGAGCCTCGTAAAATCGATAGATCTTCGCTTGCGCACCAAATCGGGAACGCGTGAAACAGAGCGCGTCTCATGACGAGATCGTGAAATGGACGTGTGGACGACGGCCGGAAAATTATCATAATGCTTGGACTCTGTATTGATGATGCTGATCCACGACACCATAGCCAGACAGAGGAATAGACAACAATACCTATCTGCGATTTCTGCCGAACAGTGCGTTAACGACCGCCCCTGGTAAGCATACTGGACCCAGCCATGTCTGCAAAAATATGCGCGGCTCGAAACCCGTGCATCTTCAAGAAATTCAGAAGACAGGCGCACTTTCCAAACGTGTGTCCCGACAGAGGCTTGGCAAGAACCCCTCCAACGTAAACACCATCAGCCTGACTAAAAGTGGCATACGCATCTAAACCGATCATAAAGCTGTGGGATTCCAGGTCTTTCAAAACCTCTTGTTTCGTGCGATACCACATGCTATTGGCAGCTCGCTGAGCGTGGCCCACTCGACGATTCCGCCCTAAGAATGGTCGAGCAAATACGCAGATGCCATAGTTAATACCACAAGCCACCACCACAACAACCCAATACGTCCGATGCTGCTCCAGGTCCAAAGCAGTGTCGCTGACCCGGCTGAGAGGAAGACTATACCACAATCAGCTCCATCTGCTGAGCGCGTCTGCTGAGGGGGGGGGAAGCCAAGTACGCTCCAAATCGGTCCCCAGACCCCTCCCAGGATCCATCTGGTGCAACATTTACCCTGGAGAAACTCTTGTTCACGGACCCGGGATCCGACAACTGCCCCTGGAGGCCGAGGCAGGCAAAACACCTTCCCGGACTCAGAACCTCGAACCTGCCCTCAGGAGGAGGAGGAGGAGGAGGAGGAGGAGGAGGAGGAGGAGGAGGAGGAGGAGGAGGAGCCGCTCCAGAGCGTCCGCGCGTGGGGCTGGGTCCTTGGCGGAGATGTGCCCGAACTCCTCGTCCTGCCCGAAGGCCATCCGCGAGATGCCGAAGTCGCAGACCTCGGCACCGCGCGCGCCGCAGCGCCGCGCGCCAGGAACAATGAAAAAACACGACCGGGGGCCTCTGCCTCCTCTCTTGTCTCTCTTCCTCGCCTCCTCCTCCCCCTCTCCCCCTCTCCTCCCCCCTCTCTCTCTCCTCCTCTTCCCCTCCTCCTCCTCCTCTCTCTCCTCCTCCTCCACCCCCTGGGAGGGTAGGGCTCCCTCGTGTCACAGACGAGCAGGGTTTTCATCGGCCGCTACGACGCGACGGTCCAGGGGCGGCCGTTGGCCGCTCCATGTGCCCCCAGGCGTTCGCCCTCGCGGAGCTGGAACGGCAGCGTGAGGCAGGGAAACTCTGGCTACCTATGAGACCACCCCAGCCTAACCCGACGGCCCACATTTCGGGTGGGGGGGGGAAAGTTCCACGCGTGTTTTTGTCAACGTTCTCCCGCGCCCCCCCCTGGGTGTGGAGGTCAAATTGAGGCCTCCCGGTTGGGTTGGGGTGGTTTGGTGGGTGATGAGAATCTGGATGGGTAACGGTGACCCTGATGAAAGAGCAACACACGCTCAAACCTACAGCTAGGTCGTGCATGTCCTCCTACAGGCGGATGTTGGAATAACAATAATAAATGAACAAATGATTTGAAACAAATGTATCAGAAAGATTGTCCCCACATGTTTGACTATTTTTGAAAATATTCTTCCTGCAGAGGGACGTGCCCGACGTAACTTACAGGGGCGGAGGACTGGGGAAAGGCAGGGAGAGGACGGCCCTGCAGGTATGCGGGTGAGGGTTTTGTCGGACTCCCCGAGGGGCGCTCCCGCTCGAGGGTTGGTCCCCGTCTGACAACACGGAGAAAAACAAACTGTGCTTAGGTCGCGCATGCCCTCCTACAGGCAGATTCTGGACGAAGAATCACAAGCAGCCACACACTATCCAACAAATGTCAAACACACATCGGCAAGTCGTTCCCAGACTACTTGCCTATGTTTGATTATTCCTCCTGTAGAGGGACACGCCACGCCCGACTGAAGTACTGCTAGCCGGCAGCTCATGACACTCAGGCATGCAGGCGGGACGTGCCGAAGGCCGCCGGGCAATGGAATGCGGTTCGTCTGAGCCCGACGCTGCCTCCCCCCTTCCAGTCCTCTCGGAACCCAGGACCTGCGACAGTGAAGGGGCCCCAGGACACACAAATAAATACACACAAATAAAAAGATTCCCCATGTTTTCCCATATTTTCTGGGTTTCTGTCTTCCCCCCCACTTCCCATATTTTCCTGTATTTTCCTGGGAATCGACGATTAGTTGTGTCTGTGTGTTTTTTCCTCTCCTGAGACAGTGTCTCCAGCGATACGGGCCAGACCACATCGCGCACGACACCTCGCAACGCCGTGTTTGTCAAAAAAGGCGCCTGGTGAGTCTGGACAGGATGCGGTCCAGAACATTCTTGCTCGGCCGCGTCGCGGCGGCGGCTACGCCCGAGCCGCCCTCCCATGCTCCTCCTCCGCGGCCGCTCTCCTCTCCCCCTTGTCGTAGGAGCTGTGTGCCCCTGCATCTGGCACCGCCCGCCCGCGATTCGCACGCGTGGGCGTCCGCAGTCGCTGCAGACCAGCAACAAGGTCGCGGCGGCGGCCGCGGCGACCCGCCGTACCCTGCGAGCGGATAGCGTCTCGCTCCTCTCCGCGGAGCGCCGGGGCGTGGTCAGCGTGTCGCACCGGACCGTGGTGGGCCAGAACCGGCGGAGCGGCACGATGAACAACAACCGTTCTTGGCCGTAGATCCGAGAATCTCTGCACGCCGGGGGGGGCTGGCGACTCGCGAGTGCATCGGGCGACGCGGCGGCTCCAGAGCGCCATGCGCGGGCAAAGACGGAGACCCTGGCAAATAAACCAAGACACCGGCGCGACCGAGAAAGCTGCACCCGCGGGTCAAGGCACTTTCCGTCCTTGGTTCCGTCCGCTGGATCTTGCCCAATCTGGGCAGCGTCCGGGTTCCCGAGGCCCCGAGGGTGTTCCGGAACGCTCCGGGAGCGTCCGGAAAACGTCCTGGAATTATGTTCTAAGATTTAGTCGGGCGTGCCCCCCTACAGGGGGATTTTGGGTAGAACAATTAGAAAGACCCCACAATTATTCAAAACATGCCCAAAAATAGTCAAAAATGGTCCCCTGACTATTTTTCTTTACTATTCTTGAGTATTCCCCTTGTAAAGGGACAGGCCCGACCGAATTCTAAGATCAATCCACATCCTTCCTGAGAAACACCACCACGGCTTGCTAGCATCCCGACCGACATTTTCGGCCCGATGGGATGAGACGCGCGACTCCAGCCGGATCGCCCCGCGAGTCCATGGGGGCGTTGGGCACGCCGGTCAGAGGTTCCCGGCCTCTGATCGCGCCGCACGGAAGGCCTCTTCAGACACGTACAACCTGTACGAATGCAAGTGCGGTTCGGAAGGCCATAGGAACCCGTGAACGTGCAAGTGCGGCTCGGAGGGCCTCTTCGGACACGCGGGCGACACCGCGTGGCAGCATGCCGACGGCCTCCGTGTGATCACGGCGAGCATCGGGAAGAGCATCGGACTTCGCGAGGGCAAGAAAACGGATACTAATGATGATGCGGAAGAGGAAAAGGGACAGAAAAAAAGGGATCGGGGAAGCGGATGAGGATAAGGATGAAGATGGGGAGGAAATGGAGGAGGAGGAGGAGGAAGAGAGGAGGAGGAGGAGGAGGAGGAGGAGGAGGAGGAGAAGGAGGAGGAAAATGAAAAGGAGGAGGAGGAAGAGGAGCGGGAGGGGGAGGAGGAGGAGGAGGAGGAGAAGGAGGAGAATAAGACGCTGGCTGGAACGGCTGCGCAGTGCACTGGCCGCCACAGAGGGAAAGGCCAACCGAGCAAGCCGCCCATCACGAGTGATGCCTAGGACCCACCCGTGGGATCACGGGAAAAGGAAGGGGAACAGGAAAGAAGGAGGAGAAGGAGGAGGGGGGGAGGACAAGCTAGGTGCGCTCGCGTCATATCTGACATCCTACCCCTCCCTCCCATCCCTTACCATGGCGTTGATTTTCTCTATCCGCGGACGCGTGTCGTGGTGGACCTGTGGCTCCGCGCGCGCGTGCGTAGTGGGTGGTGGTGCGCGTGCGTGCGTGCGTGCGTGTGTGCGTGGTTGTGGTTGTGGTTGTGGTGGTGGTGGTGCTGGTGCTGGTGCTGGTGGTGGTGGTGGTGGTGGTGGTGGTGGTGGTGGTGGTGGTGGTTGTGGTGGTGGTGGTGGTGGTGGTGGCGGTGGTGGTGGTGGTGGTGGTGGTGGTGGTGGTGGTGGTGGTGGTGGTGGTGGTGGTGGTGTGGTGGTGTGTGTGTGTGTGTGTGCGTGTGTGCGCGTGTGCTGTGGCATGGCACGGGAAACGACGCCAGCGCTGCAGCGGGAGCACGAGTCGAAACGGGCAGAAGCGCGGAAATGATGCCAGCGCTGCAGCGGGAGCACGATTCGGAACGAGAGGAAGCACGGAAATGAGGCCAGCGCTGCAACGGGAGCACGATTCGGAACGAGCGGGGCCCGAAAATGAGGCCGGCGCCTCAGCGAGAGCAGCATTTTGAAAAAAATGCAGGCGAAAACCCAACTCCCAGGAATCCTGTGCAAAAAAACAAGACGCGGGGGGGGGCCGGCTACTTTCAGGCCGTCATCGGGGGAAGAGGGAGAGTAGTATTCATATTGAGTAATTGTGGAGGAGGAGGAGGAAGAGGAGGAAGAGGAGGAGAGGAGGGGGAGGAGGAATAGGAGGGGTGGAGGAGGAGGAGGATGAGAAGGAGGAGGAGGAGGAGGACAAGGATGGGCAGGACGGGATAGGATAGCAACCAGACGGTGCCTGCTCTCAAATAGCTGCACGCCGCCCCTTGAGCTCGCCGACGAAAGAGGCAAACCTAAAGGCGGGCACGACCCAGAAACTAAATGGCAGGACCAAGAAACACGAGGAACGTATAAGACACCTCGTACGACTACCTGACACCAGAGTCATACAGAAACAAAAATTCACTCCTTCCCACCAACCACGCAGATGTGGGTAGCATTGCGCCATACATTAATGAACGCAACAATCACACCAAGTGCAAGGGATAATCTGCCAAGCCGTCGATGCTGAGCACTCTCCAGCCGAAGCTTTCATGAGGCACGCCAGATCCATAAGTTTTAGCAGCAAAAACCATCTCAACTAGACAACAAGAAATGGCACACGTAACGTCGAGGCACTGTGCGAGCCGCTCAAGCTATACATTGAAAACTTGGCCAGCCTTGCCCAAACACGCTCCTCTGAGGATAACTGCCGCCGGCTGCTAAAACACCCTGCTAATTCCAAGCGTCGATGCCGACGATGGGACGAGCAACCTCAGCTTCCAGCCCCAAACCGCGCGACAAGAAAAGATGCAGCCACTGCCAGCCCGTCTCCTGCACCAAATTGGGACGCGCAGGTCCAATGCGACACTGGACGTGAGAACGCGCCGACGGACCGTGCAACGACCGTTAAGCTGCCACTGCCTGCCTTTCTCACACAAGTTGATTCGAACACGTAGCTGATGGCTGTCGGTGCAAGCGTCCGCGTCCAGCCGAGCCCCGCACCGCCAGAGATACTTGCCACTGCTCACCATTTCTCGCACGTGCAGAAACAAATAATGTAATTGATGACGGCCGGTGTAAACTTGCCTTCCCCATCTCCGCATTCGAAAAATGGCCACATTCGAAACGCATCCGATGCGACACTGAACCTGAGACCGCGCCGACGGGCCATGCAGCGGCCCCGAAGCTGCCACTGTCTTTCTCGAACCGGTACCTCAAGGTTGTCGATGCAAGCTTCGCAACCGACCGAGCGTCGCACCACCCAGTGTGCCTGCCACCGTCCCACTTCCACAGACGTGCAAAGCCAAGCATTGTAACTAATGGCGGTCGGTGTGAACTGAACTGCGCTGATGCACTGGCCCATTGCGGCGCTGTGCTAAAGAACGAACGCGATGACGGGCTTGGCAACAGCCAATACACTGCCACTGCATGCGTTTCTCACACGTGATGGTTCGAACCGGTAGCTGATGGTTCTCGGTGTCAGCTGCTCGTCCGTCCGAGCAGGCACATGCCGAGAAAGCTGCCACTGTCCACTGTCGCGAACGCGCAGATCCAAATAATGTAGCTGATGACCGAAGTGGAACGACCTGCGTTGATGCACTGGCCCGTTGCGCCAGTGCGCCTGACAACGTGCCGACAGACCGTGCAACGGCCAACAAGTTGCCACAACTTGCCCTCCTCACACGTGCTGGCCAGGACAAGTCGCTGATGGTTGCGGAGGCGGGCCCCGCGCTCAACCGAGCCTCGCATCGACAGACGGAATTGGCACTGACAGTGCCAATTCCGTCTGTCGGTGTGACTGTCCTGACACAAACATCAAAACCAAGAATTGTAGCTGATGGCAAGCGGTGCAAATGCCCGCGGCAAGCCGAAGAAATATTCGCCCACGACGGGCCTCAGGACCCTCATGGTCTTCCCATGGCGCGTGGGGGACGGCCGCAAACCCCTCCTCCATTCTCCTCTCTCCAACCGTCCTTCCTCTTACCCTCATGCTTGATTCATATCCCAAGCCGACCAGCAACTTCTTTCCACCTCCGTACCCCTGTGTCCTCCTCTCCACCTCTTGCCTCTACACCTCCTGGGTCCTCCTAATTATCATGTGTGTCGTTCCTCGTGCAAGACAGTGAATACGCCCATCCATTCTCCCCCATCCAGCTTCGTGCCTCTGCCCTCCTCCAACCCAAGCCCTCCACTCTCCTCTCTCCACTACTCATGTCCAACGGTGCCACAACCGCCCGTGTATACTGAATAAAAGACTTCAACAGTTGGTGAGTCATACGTGTCTTTGTTCGATCGGAACGTTCTCGGTCTCCCCGTTGTAGCGCTGGTCACATTTCAGGACGGTGGTTTCCTCCCGTCGTGCAAACTGGAGCTCCCGGCCCAGCGCGGGCCATGCTGATGGATCTCACTCCGTTGTTGTCGTCCGCATCATTTCTCCTCAACCTTCCCCTGGTCCTCCTGTTCCTCCTGCTGCTCCTATTCCAGCTGCTGCTGTGTCTCCCCCCTTCCCATCGTTCCTTCTGCTCATCCTGCCCTGCGTTCAATGGCACGTGTCTAGAACAGGCGGCGAGAGTTGTCGAACCGATTTAACAGTGGGGCCTGCAACTCGAGGGGTTTTTGAATGTCGGCCAACCAGCTCCATGTTTCCAATCCTGTATGGCTGCGTCAACGGTCCAACGCCCATTCCTTCCCATTCCTCCTGCTCATCTTCCCTTTACTGTATGACTACGTCATTGGTCCCACTCCCATTCCTTTCCATTCATCCTTCTCATCCAGCTGCTCATCCACCACCTCCTCATCCTCCAACTTGCAAATCCCACCCTTCTGATTCAGAATCCTACGATGGGGCCACTTCGGAAATCGAGGCTGTGAAGGACACGCCAGGTAGCCAATAGAAATGGCTTCAGCGCAGTGAAAAGGGATAGAGGGTGGGTCGGATGTCAGATATCGTTGTCGTACTCCTCCTCCTCCTCCTCCTCCTCCTCCTCCTCCTCCCCCTCTTCCTCTTTCCAGAGGTCCAGAGAAATGGCGAGCGCACGCGGGACGGGCCGCACGCGGGACGGGCCGCCAAACATGAGCACGCAGGAGACAAGATGGGAACCGCTAGGCAGATAGACGCAGGCAGCAGGCAGCACTGCGGGGCACGGGCCGAGGCGGAAGCGGCCGCGCGGCAGGGGATGGGCGCGGGGGAGCTTCGGGCCGTGGAACTCCTCCGTGGCGGAGGAGGCGAGCAGGAGGCGCAACAGGGAGGGATGGCGCTGCGACCTTGATCTCCCCGGAGAGGTTGAACAGCACGTTCTTCGTGGCCAGGTCGCGGTGAATGATCCCTCCGCGCCACCCCGGGCAGCAGCGCCGCCGGCAGCTCCCCGCACTCCTCCCTCCCTCCTCGCTCCCGGCCCTGCTGCTCCGGCTCCTGCCGCGCTGCTCCGGCTCCTGCTCCAGCTCCTCCCCCTCCGCCTCCGCCACCGCCTCCGCCTCCTCCTCCTCCTCCTCCTCCTCCTCCTTCTCCTCCTCCTCCCCCTCCTCCTCTTCGTCCTCTTGCCGACCTCGGCCCAGAGAGACCGCCGGCTCGGCGCCGTGCCGGCCGGAGCAGAGCTGCGCAGCACACCCCAGGTGCCACAGGGGGGAGGGCAGGGCAATGACAGTGAGGCGGGGGACAGGGGGCGGAGAAGAGCAGATGGAAGCGGATGTAACTGGCAAGGCAAGTCAGGAGGAGGAGGAGGAGGAGGAGGAGGAGGAGGAGGAGGAGACGGAGGAGAAAGAAGGAGCAAAAGAGAAGGACATGGGGCTCGAGCAGATACGGAAGAGAGAGGAGCAGGCGGAGGAGGTGGAGGAGGCCGAGGAGAATACGGATGAGGAGAAATTCAAAAGAGTGGCACTCCGAGGGGATAGATAGCATAACGAAGGTAGAGGGCTCAACATCCTCCTCCTCCTAATCCTCCTACGCCTCTTCTCTGTTGTATGTTTCTTCTTCGTCGTCGACAGTCGAAGTTGTCGGGCGTTTCTGATTGGTTCGGGGCGCTTTGGGGGCATTCTGGGGGGCGAGTGTACTAAGTGGCTGAGAAGGGGGAAGGCGGTCATCCCTGGGAAAGAAGTAAATTTAGGGCTTGGGTTCGGGCGGAGGAAAATCTAGAAGTTTGAATTCGGAAACCATTGAAAACAAAAGTTCGAAACAGTGTTCGAAAGTTCAGGGGGAGTTCGGAAAAAAGAAAGCTCAAATGTTTGGCAGAGTTTATAACACATCTGCAGGAGTTCGAAACAAGTTCGAACCCTGTTCAACAGTTTCGAACAGTTTGGAGACCATTTGGGCAAAGTTCGGGACCGATTCGGGAAATCACCAAGAGTTCAAACGCGCTCCAGATATTCGGAACTTTGTCGCCGCCCAACTTTGTCTAAACTTTTTTCTGGACCACATTATAGCAACGTTAAACTTGAATTTTGTGGATGCATTTGCCTTGAACTGTTCCTGGACTTTGATTGTTCGACACAAGGCCCGTTCGCGCCACCTCAGCCACTTACCAGGCGAATGGTAGAAACACCATGCCCAAACACGATGGTCCTTCTCCTCCTCCTCATTCCCGTGTCCCTGCCTTTGTGCACGTGGACCGTGGCCTGGACCCTGAATATCATGCGGCCCGGTGATCCCACGCCAACGCGCGAACATATGCAGAGCAGGAAAACCAGCGCCGACGCAACAAGCACGGCGCTGGAGCTCATTACAGCCCAGTCCACCGGGGCGTTGCTGAATAAGGGAGGAACTCAGAAACGCCGAACAAGGAAAGCAGGAACGCTGAATAAGGGAAGAACGCTGAAGAAGGAAGGAGCCAATGCAGAGCAGGACAGCCCGCGCCGACGCAGCAAAGACGGCGCCGGAGCCTAACTACGGCCCCGTCCATCGGGGCGTTGCTGGTGCTGTCGTCGCTCTGCGAGACGGAACGAGGGGAGGAGGAGGAGGGGGGGTGGAGGAGGACGGGGGAGGATGAGGGGGAGGAGGAGGAGGAGGAGGAGGAGGAGGAGGAGGAGGAGGAGGAGGAGGAGGAGGAGGAGGAGGGGGAGGAGGAGCAGGAGGGGCAGGAGGACGAGGAGGAGGAGGAGGAGGAGGAGAAGAAGGAAAATCACTTTCCTGGCCACCGCGAGCCTCGGCCAAGTCTCGGGAACGGCCCGCAGACAAGAAGCCCTCCAGAGCCCAGGAATGGCCCCTACAGTCGGGCCCAGGCCAGAAGAGCATCCCCCAAGAGCATGAAGCCCTCCGACGCCCAAAACGGACAGAACCCTCCTAGGATGCACAAGACCATCCAGCAAGCACGAGGAACACCAGGGTACCCTCCCCGAGCTCACCGCGATCTTACACCTCGGTCCGACTGCATTCTAGCGCTTTGACTGCACACGTGCCCCCGGGAATCGAAAAACAACCGCGCGCCGTTCGCCCCGGGTGCTCCGCCCGCCCGCGCCCCACGAGCAGTGCTTGGGATCGGCGGCGAGCTGGACCGGGCAGGCGGTCCGCTCTCGGCGGGCCGCGGTGTGGGCAGGAGGAGGGGGAGCAGCGAACACAGGTGAGGAGCCCAACCACACGGCCGGGGCACAGGCAAAGGGGATGGGGTGCCGCTCCCCGTCGCGTGGTTGACGGCCTGAGGCGAATTAACTCGGCGCCGTCTGCGCTGAGAGATGAATAGGGCCTGGTGCACAACGTGTGTCGCACATGGATGACCAGACACCACATGACAACGCACGGCACGCCCAAACACAACGAGTTAAAGTTGGACTCGCGGCCACACAAGAGGAGGGAGAGGGAAGGGAGGAGGACGAGGAGGAGGCGGAGGAGGAGGACCAGGAGGAAAAGAGGAGGAGGAGAAGGAGGAGCAGGAGGAGGAGAGAGAGGACGAGGAAGGGCACAATGGAAGGGGAAGGTAGGAGGGGAAGAATGGGGAGAGCCGCGAGAGACGGTCGGAGCGCCCTCAGAGCGCGAAGCCCTTCAGGATGTGCCACGGTCAAGCTCGAGTGCTCGACGCTGTCAGCGCGGGCACAGGTGCTGTCAGCGCGAGTAGGCAGAGTGACAGCGCTGGCGGAAAAGCATTGGAAGGGCATACAAAGGCAAATTAAGCCACGATGCGCGAGGGGGAGAGGAGGAGGCGCCCGGCGGTGGCGGGAGGGAGACAAAGACCCCAGCAGACAACCGAGAATCCAGCAACCCAGCACCCCCTGCTCAGCCTCTCTGCCGAAAATGTGCTGTGCTCGGCGAGGCGCCGTGCACAAGCCGCCGCCGCGCATCCTTCGAGCCTAGCCATGTGTGCGTGCATTCGGGCGTGTGTGCGCGTGTGTGTGTGTGTGTGTGTGTGTGTGTGTGTGTGTTACTGTGTGTGCGTGATTGTGTGTGCGAGTGTGTGTGCTGGTGTATATGTGGCGTGTGCGTTTGTGTGAGGAGCACCCGCGCACTCGTTCTGGCCAGCACCTCTGTCCAATTCTGAACGTCCAGACCATTCACTGGCCAAGGTTTTCTGGGGTAGTTGATCTGGGCGTGTCCCGCCCTACAGCTCGCTGCGGCAGGTCAACTGGCCCGAAACTGAAAACAAACAGTGCGTATGTGTATGCGTATATGTGTGCGTGTGTGTGGCGTGCGTTTGTGTGTAACGTGCGTGCGTTGCGTGCGTGTGTAACGTGCGTGCGTGCGTGCGCGTGCGCGTGCGCGTGCGCGTGCGTGTGCGTGTGCGTGTGTTTGTGTGTGTGTGTGTTTGTGTGCGTGCGTGTGTGCGTGCGTGCGTGCATGTGTGTGTGTATATGTGTGTATGTGCGTGGGGGGGGCACCCCACGGACTCGATCTGGCAGGTACCGACGCCTGGTCGTGCGGATGTATGGTCGCGTGGACGTGTGGATGTCTAGGCGTCTGGATGCATACATGCATGAATACACATATATATATATATGTGTATATATATATACACACAACCTCACGATGACCCTCGACGGCCCCAAGATCACAACTTCCAATAATGAGGCGTTCCAAATTGCCATTCAAATGAACTCCCGAGTCGCTTTCGAATGGCCCCTGGGGCCGGGTAAGGCTTCCTGCGGGACCGCCATCTGCCCAACCAGCTGACATTCTGCTCGCATAACGCGAGATGGGTCTCTGCGAGGCGAGGGGGGGATCCATAACCACCGCCTGGGGGATCGATCTCGGGGGGCTCGGCAAGCGGCGACTATGCATGCGCTCTGGCTCCAGGGGTGGCACATGCATCTATGTTTAGGTCGGGCATGGGCGGATTTTGAGGACAAATCAAAGATAGTCAAAATAGCTCTCTGTTTAAGCATAAAAGAATCAAGCATAGTCAGAGAAAATCGTTCCCAGACTATTTTTTACTATCTTTGAAAATTCCTCCTGCAGCGGGACAGGCCCGACTTCAATCTTTGTCCATGGATCCCCCAGGCGGTGGGCATCGATACATCCCCGCCTCGAATCCTTGAGGCCGAAACTCGGCGCGATGGGCCCAGGCCCTCCTCTCATCGGGCGGCTGGTGCTATCTGCAGCCCCCCTCGGCTCTCTGCGACCCCCGCCCCGGCCCGGCCGTGCTTGTGCAGGTGCCCGGTGGCGTCCAGCAACTGCCGCGGCGCCCGCGGGGGCTGGGAGGGCTACCGCCGCACCGCGGCTGGGCGAACCCAAACACGGTCGTGGGAAAGTGGCGACGGGAAATCTTCTGCCGTGTTCCCCAGATCCTGTGCGCTTGGTCCTCGATTTTAATCCGCAGCACCCCGCGTCTCTTCCTTCTCCTTATCCTTCTCCTTCCCCTCCTCCATCTTCCTCCGTCTCCTCCTCCTCAACCCCTCCTATTCCTACTCCTCCTCCTCGTCCTCCTCGTCCTCCTCGTCCTCCTCCTCCTTCTCCTCCCTTCTCCCTCTTCTTCCTCCTCCCTTCTCCCTCTTCTTCCTCCTCATTCTCTTTTGCCCTCCTTCCATCGCTTCTGCTGCTTTTGCCGCACTCCTTTCGGCGCCACACCCCGCGTGCGTGTTCTGCCCCCAGGGACCTCCACTCAAGGCCACATCGGGCGTGCTCGCATGGCGTCCTGCCCCCAATTTCGGCACACCCCTCACACGTTTCGTGGCTCAGTAGGACGCTCCACTCATGGCCACTGCGGGCGGGCTCGCATGGCGTCCCGCCGCCCACTTCGGCACACCCCTCACACGTTTCGTGCCCCACAGGGAGCTCCACCGATGGCCACAGCGGGCGTGCTCGCCTGGCGTCCCCCCGCCCACTTCGGCACACACCTCACACGTTTCGTGCCCACAAAGAGCTCAGCCTGTGGCCTCAGTGGGCGTGTTCGCATGGCGTCCTCCCGCCCATTTCGGCACACAGACACACACACACACACACACACACACACACACACACACACACACACACACACACACACACACACACACACACACACACACACCACACGTTTCGTGCCCCACGGGGAGCTTCACTCATGGCCTCAGTGGGCGTGCTGGGATGGCGTCCCCACGCTCGTTTCGACACACCACTCACACGTTTCGTGCCCCACAGGGAGTTGAACCGATGGCCAGAGCGGGCGTGCTCGCATGGCGTCCCCCGCCAATTTCGGCAAACCCTTACAGAGCAGTGTTTAATACATGGAATTTCTGAAAATATCGGATGTTTCATACATGATAAGTTTAAGAATGAATTCGTGCACGAACTCATCGTTGCTTCTAATACTAAATCCCTGAATTTTGTTATACATGATCCGCACGCGGAGAATGTATTAAAAAACGACACTGTACACGCGCGTCGTGCCCCACAGGGAGCTCCACCGATGGCCCGAGCGGGCGTTCTCACATGGCGTCCCACCGCCCACTTCGGCACAGACCCTTTTGATCCGCGGGTCGAGAGCGAGCCTCTTCCGGTCGAAACTAAGCGGGCCGCGCACAGCTTTAATTGACAGAGGGAGGAAAACAGAAGGCGGGGCCTCACGTCAAGGCCAAGAGAGGGCAAAGCCCCAGGATCAGGCGGTGCCGCAGGCGAAGTGCATGCAAAGGAACGCCTTGTACAGGAACCCGGAACCCACTTCGGCACACACCTCACGCGTCTCGTGCCCCACATGGAGCTCCACTTGTGGCCCCACTGGGCGTGCTCGCACGGCGATCAAGCGCACCCCATCACGCGCCTCGTGGCCCTACAGGAAGCTCCACCTGTGCATGTATGGTCGCGGGCTCCGGGCCCACGGGCCCCACACCCCAGATGGGATGGGTCTCAGGGTCCTCGGGCCGCCCCCCCCCAGATGGGAAGGGGGGGGGAGAGGAGGAGGAGGAGGAGGAGGAGGAGGAGGAGGAGGAGGAGGAGGAGGAGGAAGAGGAGGAGGACGACGAAGACGACGACTGCGACGACGACGACTACGAAGACACCGTCCGCTCCTGCTCCCTGAAGCACCGGAACACAACGCCACACCCAGAAGGAGGCGACGACGGTGAAGTCACCGTCGACGACGATGTTCCTTTTCCTCCTCCCCCCATCCGCCTCTCCATCCCTCCCTCCTCGTTTTTGGCCCTCTCTTCCTTACCTTGCTCCCCCCTCCCGCTTCCTCTCCCCAACACGCCACGCCCACGCCCACAGGGGGGGGGGGGGCATCGCGCGGGGGGGGGGGGGGGCGATGGCATTAGCAGTGGGGGGGGGGGTGCCAAACCCTCGACCATGTATGGCCCCAGCGGCGGTGCTCGCATGGCGCCGCCGCGCCCATTTTGGCATACCCCTCGAACGTTTCACCCCTCCCAGGGAGCTCCATCTTGGGCCGTAGGGGGTGCGTTCGCATGGTCCCGCCGTGCGCATTTCCGCACACCCATCGCACGTATCGTGCCCCACAGGGAGCTCCACCTACGGGCCAAGTGGACGTGCTCGCACGGCGCCGCGCCCAAACATGGTCTGTGATTCCCAAAGGGATTCCAGCTACTTCACAGCATTTCGCCGCCGCGCTCATCTCGGCACACTCGTCACGCGGATAGTTCCCCATAGGAAGCCACACCTCTTGTGGAAGACGATTAATGAAGAGGAGGCATGTTGCCAAATAATTTCCAGATGTCTGAAACATGTTTCAAGCATGTCGTTCACGTGCTGAAGCATGAGCCAAACAGTATTCGAACAAAGACATGGATAGTTCAATTACATAACGGTTAGAGTGCCAATTTTCATGGCATCCACAGACTATGGCATGACGCGTGTGATGAAGCGCGCGGCGCTGCTACTCGCGCTAATCATTATTCAAATTATCCTCACTTTTCTCCCTGCCCTAATCCTGCTACGTGTCGCGTTCATCGTTGTTTTCCTTATGCCAGACCGATGTGTGAGAGTGCGTGCGTGAATAGGGGACATTGTTCGCGGTCTGACCGTCTTTGGCGAAATTGTCAGGGATGTGGCAGATCTTTTGACGTGTTCCCCTTTATTGAGCCGCCCTGCTCATACTTGCCTCTCGTTTGGATGGGGTAGGGTTTATCGCCAAGCTGATGTTGTTGCCTCCCGGGGGCCTCGCCGAGCCACTTGACCGCAGAAGACTGCTCGGGATGAACAGCTGGCGGAACGGGCCGGGGCTTCCGAGGAGCCCGCATGGAACCAAATCAAGACTTAGGTCGGGCGTGTCCTCCTACATGCGGAGTTTGGACGAACAAATAAAATGGTCAGAAAATAATCAAGACAATGCCCAAAAATAGTGAACGAATCGCCCCCACCCTACTTTTTTTTATGTTTGCATATTCCTCCTGTAGCGGGACATGCCCGACTTAAATCAAGACGCCGGATGTCTGAGGCCACCGCAGCGCTGCGGCAAGACGACGGCAAGATGAGGATAAACTTCCCGTGTGAGCGACGATCAAAGCAAGGTCCTTACGCGAGATGACACAGCGACGTTACGCGGCTGCTTACGCAGGCCTCCGGCGCGGCACGCCACATTGGAGACGAGGGCGCCGACGCGCAACCTTACGCGGGCAGCTTACGCGCGAATGTCGGCGCAAACGATACCGTTTGTTTGCCTCGCTCATGTGTCTGAAGAACGTGTCGGGCACCGCGGCCGGTGCAAGAGAGCCCCGGAACGCCATCGGCGCCTCGACCAAATCGAGGCGGCCAATGTGTCGTCACTACCTGCGTCTGGTAGCTGGACTCCGTCCTGGTGGCCGTCCGAAAAAGAAATTGCCCTGGGGAAGGGGTCGAGCGGCCCTGTGGCGCTCGACGCGAAAGGAGCGAAGCGCCGGAAAGCACGTCGAGGCGTGCCAGAATGCAACGTACTGTCTCTGGCCGTCGCTCGGACGTCCATTTCCCGTGCGTTTTTCGGTTTCGTGCGTGTTTTTGTTTGCTCGATGATTCAGGATGATCCTTGCTGGTTCTCGCCGAGAAAAAATGCACACGTCCGAGCGATGCCAAGGTCTGGTAGGGTTTTTGTAATCCTCCAGTGGGCCCCCCTCTCGAAATCGCACCTCACCGCGCGCCCCTGCCATGGGTCCCTGGGCGGCCATGACGCCTCCCTGGGGCGACGGCCCAGGAGGCCCCCAAAACGGTCCAAGAGGGCCCCGAGCCGCCGAACGATCGTTCGAAGACGCCCAAGATGGTTTCAAGATGGCGCAAGAGGCTTCCAAGGCGCCGCAAGAGGCTTCCTAAAGGCCCAAATCACCAAGTCTCCTTAACGCTTTTCTTGGATGGTGGCGTTCTCGCCTTGTCGGCTTTCCGACGCTCGGAGACGGCCCAAGAGGCCCCCTTTTCGGCTTTCTGACGCTCCATCCAAGATGGCCCGACAGGCCCACAAGACAACCCCAAACAGCCCAAGACGCCTCCAAGAAGGCCTCAAGACGGCCTAAGAGCGCCCCGAGACGGTCGGATGCGCCCAAGACGGCCAAAAAGGACCCGCCCCAGAGAGGGAACGCGGACCGAAAATCCGAGCCTTCCACCCCGCGGGGCCCCCAGGAGGCCCAAACAGGCGCCCAAGACGACACAAGAGGCCCCCAAGAGGCCCCAAGTGGCCCCCGAGCCGCGGGCAGTGGAAACACCGACGCAGTGTGAAGGGATGGCTAGGAGGGGGTAGGATGTCAGTCCGTTGCGCGAGCGCACCTCTCGTGGGTCCCCTCCACAATTACTCAATATGAATACTACTCTCCCTCTTCCCCTGATGACGGCCTGGGAGTGTCCGACACCCCCCCCGCGTACGGTTTTTTACACACAGGTTTCCCGGGAGTTGGGTTTTCGCCTGCATGTTTTTCAAAATGCTGCTCTCGCTGAGGCGCCGGCCTCATTTTCGGGCCCCGCTCGTTCCGAATCGTGCTCCCGCTGCAGCGCTGGCTCATTTCCGTGCTTCTGCTCGTTCCGAATCGTGCTCCCGCTGCAACGCTGGCCTCATTTCCGCGCTTCCGCTAGTTTCGACTCCTGCTCCCGCTGCAGCGCTGGCGTCATTTCCCGTGCCATGCCACGGCATGCACTGCAATGCTAGGTTGATGCTACGCTTTGCAGTGCTCTTCTACGCCATGCCAGGCCGTGCTATACAATGCATCGCGTACCCATCATTGCCCTGCTCGACATCCAACTGAGCGAGTAGAGAGGGGATCTGCGCCATGGTAAGGGATGAGAGGGAGGGGTAGGATGTCAGATATGACGCAAGCGCACCTAGCTTGTCCTCTCCCTCCTCCCCCCCTGCTCCTCGACTGCAGGCTCGGAGGTATTTCTTCGAACGCCACACCAGGGCCCCGACAACACCCGAAAGACAAATGACAGCTTCTGCGTCCAAGCCCCTCCGCATCAGTGGACGCGCGGTCCGAACGCCCCCCCCTCCCACTCATGAAATTCTGAACAAGCTTGCGCCAGCGAGGGGTCCCTGGGGTTATCCACTCCTTGAACTAAGAATTCATTCCCGAGAGTGGACGGACCCTGGTTTTGGGCGATTCTGCCTGAGACGTCCTTACGGTCTGCCTGGTTTGGCCACTGATTTGGCCCCGCGTTCTACCTGACATGTCCTCGAAATTTGTTTGGTTTGGCCCTGGTTTGGTCTGGTTGCGCCTGTTTCAGCTTGAGACCTCCTCGCAGTTTGCCAGTTCTGGGTCTGGTTTGGCATGGTTTCGGCCCTGCTCCGCCTGAAACGTCCTCACAATGTGCGGTAATGAGTCGGACAGGCAGACCGCACAAGAGAACTCATCGCGGGACACACTGGGATGTGCCACGTTTCCTTCGACACTGACTGAGTGAAACACACAGACCGTGGTATTTGCGTAAAAACCGAAGTAATGACACTGTGCGTAATGAAGACACATTGTGGTCCACAAAAAACACGGCTGCACTACAAAATGACAGGCGGAGTTTCTCTGGCGCGTCCATGTGCAGGTCCACAGTCGCCTTCTGAAGGCCTGGAGTGGACCGGAGGCGCCAACGCGTTCCTCAAGGAACGCCGTGCCACGCCCGAGAAGAAACTGGTTTGCACCCTCATTCCCAACACGCTGTGAATCGGCATGGGCGCGTGTGGCGGCGTTCGGAGAAAACCTTTCCGAGCCTAATCAGGCTCGGAAATATATTTCTCCTCACGCCACACCAGAGCCCCAACAACACCCGGAAGACAAATGGTAACTTCTGCGCCCAACCCGGTCCGCATCAACTGACGTGGGGTCCAAAGACCCCCCACCATAAAATTCTAAACGGGCTTCCGCGAAGTGGGATGTGCCACGTTTCCTCCGACACTGAATGGTTTCTTGGCACAGGCCGTGGCGGGTGTGTGGAACCCGAAATAATGGCACTGTGTGCAATGAAGACCCCCTGTAGTCCACCTGAAGCACGGCTGCGCTACGAAATGACGAGCGGAATTTGCGCGAACATTCCCAACATGCTGTGGACCGGCATGGGCAGGTGCGGCGGCGTGAAGAGAAAGCCTGTCCGATCCTGCTGAGGAGAAAAACACACACAAACTCCATAAGCGACACATTCTCTGAGGTCCGCACGGCGCCGGAGAGGCGCCGCCACGGGGGGGTCGGCGCCGACCCAAGACGTCCGCGCGGACCTCCGAGAGACCACGGTGGGGTCGTCGGAGAAGGAACCCTTGGATAAGTCGGGAGCGGCCAAGAGGGGGGTGTCCAAGAGGGGGGGGGGGGGGGCAAATCATGACCGTCATGTGCGCGGCCCGCGGGGGGCCTAATGAAATAAGAAGAGGCGCCTTAAAATCTGGGGACATATCATAGCCCCCGCCATGGTATCCACCCCCCCCTAGTCATCACCCCCCTCTTTTCCGCCCCCGAATAAGGAAGCCAGGGTCTGGAAGCTGGCGGAACTCCCATCGAGGCTTGGCCATGGATACCACCACCGCCCTCATCAGACAAGGAATCTCTCCCAGGGTCTGCAGAATCCTGGGCGCCTTCCTTAACGAGCGCCCCCACCGTATGCCCATGCCGTCCCAGACATGCGGCGTCCAGATTTTTTCAGTACGGCGTCCCCGGAAGCCCCGACCCTTTCCCATGGGCCGGCTTTTTTCATCCTGAGCCGTCGCTTGACGCTCCCGAGGGCCGGCGAGGGCCCGCATGGGTCGAAAATAGCGAGAAACCTGCCGTCCTGAATTTTCAACGACGCGATCGCGTCTGCTGGGATGACCGTGGGGGTTCTAACTGGATAGGGGGGTTACAAGTGGATGCCAAGGTGGGTTGTATCTGGCCCAACCTGGCTTATATGTGGAATACAAATTCCCCGAGTGGCTTCAGAAACCCCCACGGTCATCCCAGTGGGGCCTCTCCCTTCGATCATCCGCTCCCCCCCCCCCCCCCCCGGGAGACACCTGCCGGCTGACGTACTTGATCTCGCTGAACGACAGGCCGTGCTCGACCCCGGGGGGGGGGGGGACGGAGGGCGGGCACGGGCACGTCCCCGAGGGCTCGGCGGGCGAGTGCGTGCCTCCAGCTCCCCCCTTCGGGGATGGACAGACCCCCCTTTAGTCAAACGTGGTTTAGTGAAAACGACCTGGGGCCTGAACCTGGCAGGCGCAAGCCTGGAAAATGGCGGCCGCGGCGCCCTCTCGAGAACCGAAACCGGACAATTCACTCATCGACGTGTCAGGGTAGGAGGTCTGTCCACACCCGACCCCTGACATGTGTGTTTTTGTTCAGTTGCTCTGCCGGGCCCCAGACGACGCCGTGATTTTTTTCACAGCGTCGACCCCCAGAAATCTAGACCCCTTCCCCCGGACCGGTCTCTTTTCCTCCTGGGTCGCTTGCTGACGGTCCCGCGCGGCCCGGTGAGGGCCCCGGAGGCCGAAAACAGAAACACCGTTCCGGTCGAGCCCCGGGGGCGATACCCAGACCCCCGACGTCAAGATTTGTCCATGACGTCTTCCCCAGCACGGGCTTCTCATGCTGAGCCGTTTTATTGACGGTCCCGAGGCCCGGTAAGGGCCCCCAGAGGCAGAACGTCGCGAAAAACCTCCAGTTGTGTGTTCTTCAGAACTCGAGGGGGTCTGGGCACAGCGGATGCGCGGCCGCATGGACTCGCTCTGCGCGGGGCCTCCGCGACGGGAACGCCCCGTGACTATCAACGGCACCGCGGCGCCCGGCCTGCGAGGCCGTGGACACGGAGACGGTCGGGAACTCTTCTGCTGAGCGTGCCTCGGCGGCGGCCCTATAGCGACACGCTGTATGCCCTGCAGCCGGCTGGCGTGTCGCTCCCCGCCATGCGGCGGGAGTCTGGCGAAGCCCGGGACCCAGGCAGGATCGCGCCGTGAAAAAATCGGGACGGCAAGTTTGTCTATAGTTTTGGCCCCTGGGGGCCCTCGCCAGCCGCCGGGAGCGTCGGAAAAGGACTCAGGGTGAAACCGGCCCTGGGGAAAGGGTGCTGGGACTTCCAGGGACGCCGTACCGAATAAAAATCGGGACGTCGCACGTCTGGTGGGTGGTGGCGCGTGGTGGGCCAGGACCGGCGGAGCGACACGGTGATTGAACAATAAATCCTGACCGTACAGTCGGGGCGTTGACCTAAGGAACCCTAAATAAGGAACGAGGCCCTTTTTTTCAATAAGTTAAACTTCGATTCCCCATCGAAAACCTAAGGACAACCTAAGACAAGCTGCGAAACAATTAAGGAACACGGAGCCCCTCTCCAACGAAAAGGGTTCCTTGTTTGGCGCCCCGGCCGTATGTTTCCCGCCCGCGATGCCCCCCCCCCCCCGGGGGGCTTCGGAGAGTTGAGCAGCTCCAGCAGGGAGGCCTCTGGGGCGGGAGCGGGATCACAGCAGTGGGTCCGGAAGCCGGACCTGGTCGGAGTTGTATGTCGGATCGGGCTGCATCCCCAAACTTGCTGACGCCGTGAAGACTCACGACGGAAGGCTGTGGGCCGTTTTTTCCGCCAGCGGAGGCCATCGCCGGGCCCCAGAACTCCAAAAGCGACCCGCATTGAGGAGCCAGCCCATGGAAAGGGGTCGGGACTTCTGGGGGGCCCGCACTGACAAAAATCAAAACATCAGCCGTCTGGGTCTGCACGGAGTCGAAGTCGACTCAGACCAGCTGCGCCCAGACACACAACTGCGCCTGGCAAGTACATCGGGCCGCGCTGGACCGTCGAGCGATTCCATCGGGATCGGATCTGGTCGAACCTCGGCATAGGATCGGATCGGCATCGAGCCATCATGTGCCCTGGGGGGAAGACATCCTCAGCCCCCCTCTCCGATCGGCTACATGTAACAGTGACTCTGGGCAAGAGTGACCTTTGGTGCGCGACTTAACGGGGGACGCGGGGTGGCCAAACCCAGGCGCACAAGCCGCCGCTATCGCACCGCGCTCAGCGATCGGAAGGGACCCCGGTGAGCCCGCACCAGAGGTCACTCTGGCGAAGGGTCACTCTTACGAGTGGTCGATGCGAAGCGGTCCCTGACACCCGGCGCCTCGAAGAAGAGTGGAGCGGCCAGCCTGGCAGCAGCTTCGGCATCTGGAGTCGGCCCGCTTCGGGCCGACGGGGCTCCGGGCCGTAAGCGTAACGGCCCAGGTGATGCAAAAGTGGCCCCGGGGAAGGTCTGGGAGATCTAAGCACTGGATGTCTGGGGAGCGGCAGGAGTGGTGGGTGCGGAGCGGCTGAGTGAGTGCTGCCGCACGGAGGCCGAGGATGCCGTCGCAGTGCAGCTGTGCCAGCAGCGCAGGCGACTGCGACACGCCGTGGCCATGCGTCGGCACTCTGAGCCGACCACCTGGGCCCCCCGCCTCCTTAGCCCCCCTCCTCCCGCTCCGCCTCTGCAATCGCATCCCCTCCCTGCCTCCACCTCCACCACCCCATTATCATCCTCCTCCTCCTCCTCCGCCTCCGCCTCCGCCTCCTCCTCCTCCTCCTCCTCCTCATCATCATCCTCCTCCTCCTCATCCTCCCTCACCTCCTCTTCCACCATACCCTCATCGATTCCACAGCCTCTTCTGCCCCTTCGCGCCATTCTCCTCAACTCCCCCTTCCTATCCGCTGCAGACCCCTCCTCAGCATCGTCTTCGCCGTCAACACCCTCTTTCTCCTTGTTCCCCCTCCCCCCCCTCCCTCCCCTCCTCCTCCTCCTCCTCCTCCTCCTCCTCCTCCTCCTCCTCCTCCTCCTCCTCCTCCTCCTCCTCCTCCTCCTCCTCCTGAGGTGAAACGATAAGGGTGGAACGTCTCAGGGGGAGTGGGCGAGGCATGGTGGAGAGATCGGCGGCGGACCCCCGACAGCGAAACCGCACGTTCCTGGGCAGAGTGGGCTGTCGGGCCCCTTCAT